ACAAATTCATGGTTAAAAAGTATAGATTTGTTGAGCTTGAAAATTAAATTGCATTACTTGAATATCCTTATCCCAAACTGACTAAAGTGTCTCTTGAAGATTAATTTCAGTTCATTCTTAGAGGTATACTTGTGGATATTAAGTATCTCTTTTTGGAGGTATAGTAATAATTCCATACTCTGAGCTTGATATTCTACATGTCCAAGTGTATTTTTTTTTCAGCAAATCCCTCCTTTTCCACCAGAGGTACTGCTGGGTAACAGCAAAGGGCAATTTGGTGGCCTGTGTTGACCAAGGAAGAGGGATTTATTTTCCCCATTTTTCTCTCTTCTGCTTTCTGAGGGACTGTCTTTTGGATGGACAGCTGATCTAATTTTGTGGTTTTGTTTTGTTTTTTCTTTCAGTGGGTGTACTTTCTGGAGGTAATAATCAGCACAGGCTGTATCCTTCTGGGATGATATCCACTTTGGCTGCAATACTCATCCACTTGCAAGACCTGTTTTCTGTGTGTTCCCTTGTCAGAATGGGACCCGATAATGATTTTCCACCTTAAATATAATGAGGAAAGACTTATGTGATGGAAGCTCTCTAGTGACTCTGCTGCAGTATTCATAATGAAAAATTTCCCAGAGAGGGCTGAGAGCTGAAAGTCTGTAGCCAGCTTTGGGATGATGTTTTTGTGAGCCTGGGCTCTCAGGGATGCTTGTATATTTTTTCATGAGCTATCATTGTAATGTTGGGGAGGCTATCTTTATTTTGTGCATTATCACTAGTTTTTTGAGCAAAATGCACCCCAGTGTTAACTGGAGTCTGGTATAGGAATATGTAAAGAGAGGCAAATAGGTAAAAACGCATAGCGATTGTCTCTCGTTTGGCAGGAATGATTTCTATTATCTCAGCAAAATACTTTGTTTTCCCAGTCAGTCTTGCAAAATAATGCACCTCCCAACTCCCAACAATGAGATTAAATAACATCACTTTTTTTTTTTTTTTAAATCTGTGTCCCAGTTTATAGCTTTTTAGATATTATTAGGTTGTGTATTACTTAGATGTAGAAGTAATGACACACTTTGTGTATTGGGAGAAATTTGTGTAATTTCAACAGGATGTTGAACTCCACAATGCTGAATTGGAAACTGTGGAATCTTGTCTGCTATCTAAATTGATGACCCTTAATGGTAGACTGAATCATCTCAGTACTGACCTGGCTGGACAGATGACTAGTGGCTAGTTCTGTTGATTATATATCCTTCACAACTTTTATTAATTATCTGTTTCTCCTTTTTTTTTTTTTTCTTAATTTTTTTTGCATGGTGTTTTGTGGAGAGAAGTTAGTATTTCAGAGAATTTGTATCTGCCATGCTGGCCTACAGGAATGCATTTGGCATATTAACTTTCTTTCTAACAGTTGCATTTTAATGTATACAGAGAGCATTTTGCTCTCAGAGGCCATCTGAATGTCTTCAAAGGGTTATTGAATTGTTTATTGATCTACTTCATTGCTGCTGTTCCTCTGGTTCTTTTTGATGTCTTGTCACTTAATTCAAAATATAATGCCCAGCTTTTAAATTAAGAATTGTGCAGGAAGCCGTACTTGTGTAAACATTAGGGTATGTTTCTCTTTTGAGTGAGAATGTACTAGATTGTCCACTAAATACTGCTGCCATCAGAGTTTTATCCTTTTCATTCCTCTCACTTTGTGTAGACTCATTCCTCTCTTCCTCATAAGAAAGCTGAAGTGTCTGGGATTTTATCTTTTAGGTTTTAAAAAAGTCTTATCTCTTATTATGCAATTAGAAGCTGACAGACTAGTTCCCTGCCTAAGAAAAAAAATTTGATTAATTTTCTTTCCTTTCCTTGAATATTTTCTCTGTATTTCTCTTACATTTTTACATTTCTTAAATTTACTAACTAAAAGTGACTGTTGATTACCTCCCTCCACCCCCCATTAATTTATTCTATCACCATTTGAAGTTTTTTAAACTTCTAGAGTAGAAAATCATCAGTGGCAAGGAGTTCCATAGTTAGTATATTTATATATTGGAAAAGTGTTTCATCTTTAATTCTGCCACCTGAATATTCATTTGTGGATTTTTATACTATATTTTAAGTTTTTGGGTAATAACTCCTAATTTATTTTTAAGCCTTGCATGATATTAAATATATTTGTCATAACCTGCACCAGTTTCTTCTTTTTTCCATGATTAAGATTATAGCCTGTTAGCTTATTTCTTGTACAGAAGTGGTTCCATATCTTTGGTTATCTTGATCACCTCTTAGTAGCTCTTCTAATTTTAGATTTTGCATTTGATTTAGCCTTTCTTGTCCATTGGCTGATCTTCTACCATCAATGTGTACCCATAGCAAGGGGGTTTCCTGATACCAATTTTAGTGATAAAGGAATGGAGAAGTGTGTTAAGTGGCAGAGTGAGAAATAAAACTTCTCACTAGTGATAAGGCAGGATTGGAGCTGTTTCATTTGGATGTACAGCTTTCTCAGACAAATGGCTTTGCCTAAGAGGCTACCCTGCCTGTTTGCACTTGCCCAGCTTCTAGCCCACCTTCCCCTCCCAGCACTTAATGTACTTAGGATGCAGCTCTGAGTTACTAGCCAAGTGTGTGTCATGGGATGCTGAGTGACCAAATCACATAAATTGGCCTGTTTGAGTTATCAGCCTCTTCTGGCTCAAAAGGCAGAGGTTTGTGCCACAAAGCTGTCAGATTCATGTATTGCTGGTGTTCACTGAGTGTTATACAAGACAATTTTTCTTTTCCTTTTTCCTTTTCCTTTTTTAAAGAAGTCCAAAAGGCACTCTTTCCTCTCTCTCTACCCCACCCAAAATACTGAGTATGAGTGGAAATATTGCAGAAATGGGGGGAAGCTTTTAATATTTAAGGCTGCAGAAAGTAAGCTGTTGCATTAGTAATGGTCAAATTAAGGCTATGTGTGCAGTGTTAGATCCTTTTATACATACTGTCCCGTCAGTCGTTGGTCACTTGCATACTATTTTCTTTTCTGTAGGACATCAGATATTTCAACAAGACCAGAAATGTTGTAAAATCATGGAGTAGAGCTAGATATGTTTATTGATGAGATTCTTTTTTTCTCCTGCTGGCTTCACCCTTTTGTTGTTATATTTCAGTCTGTAGCTTGATGAGACTGCTTCTCTCTCCCATCTCATTGTAAACTGTTGTTCCCTACCTTTCGAAAACCTACTTCAAATGTAACTGAATAAAAAGCAGTGGAGAAAACCACATTAGGAGGGGGGAAAAGGAAAGCAAATCCTCAGCTGTATGAAGCTGCCAGTAATGTTCAGAAGCTGACAATGATGAACTGTTCAACTAAGTATAAATAGTCTTCACAGCCTCTGTGTTTCTTGCCTTGTGAAATGGTGCTCATTATTTTTTTCCCCTTTTTAAATATTTGGTGTTCACATCATTTACTCTGTCTAGTGTATGCCTCTGTTGCAGTCACTCTTCATGTTGCTGTACGTGAAAACCAGGAGTCTACAGACTGTCTGGTGTGCAGTGAAATGAGCAGCTAACTGTAGCCTAGCCTGGTGTTTTGTGATCTGCCATGTATTTTACAGTGAAAACACCAGGACAGAATACTGCAAAATTGGCAGGTTTTCATTGACAGGGATTTTAATCTTTTTTGCTGTTTACATACTGAAGATGAGGGCTTTGCTATGACACAAAGACACTTCAGGAAGATTTCAAACAGCAGCAGCAGCAAAAAAAGTCCTCTCTTTGGGGATGAAAATGTATCATATAGGCTATTTTGTCATTTTTGAAGTTAAAACATTTCTTTTCCCAAGAGTATTAGCTGAGAAAAATCCCATCTTTTTTAAAGCAGTTAAGTAGCCAGGAAGTCAATACTATGTTTAAATGTGTAATAAATGTTGACTTCTGTGCCTTTACTCCATGATACCTTGTCATGCTTGACACAGTGTCCTTGCATAGACTGAAGACATATTATTTCTATTGGGTATGTGAGAGAGTTTGTGTTTGTGAAGGTTTGTACTGCCCCATTAAAAAAAGAAAATGGTTGCTATTCAAAATTATTAAACCTCTATCTCCTGATTATGATTTTTGTAAAATACCTTCACAAAAGAAAAACCATTACGAAAATAGGTACTGTGCTGCAGGAAATCTCAGCAAATAGAAGTGCACAACAAAAGTCGTTTTTGGGTAATCAAAGCTGCTGCTAGCTCCTGCTCTTTCACGTTTCACTAATTGAAGTCCATTGACTTAAATCCATTGTTTGTATTAAGAAAGGAGGAGGGGAGGAAATAAAGAGGCTCTGAGGTTGGGTTTTTCTTTTTTCCAGTATTGTCCCTGTCAACATGCCACAGTTTCATCTGAAACAAGGGATGCATGAAGCTTTTCAGTCTGGGTTTTGTTTTCCCATATTTTTTTATATTTAATTTGCTGGCTGGCAGCTCTAAAAATCACTTAATCAGCATATCTGGCCCAAGTACTAGGCTTGACTTGAACATACTGACAGTGTCTTGGCTCATGGACAACTGAGACTAGTTTGAATTTTTGTTCTGTGATCTATATAGGTAGAGGTGATGGAAGAAGAAAATAATAGTCTGAAAATCTGTCTTGTTCCTTTCCCAGCAGTGCCACAGAAGTCAAGCCCCAAATGCTTCTTTTGATCTTGTTTGTAACCTCTTGTAGCTTTGGAGATTCACTTCTGACTTACAAGACCCTCTGTGGGAAGAGGAGCAGCTCTCTAATTCCACTGCTCAATTTTGCAGGCTTGCTTGTGTTTAAGCCACTTGGTCCTTTTGCCCTCTCTGAAGCACCAGTGTATTGCATTTACTTTTGTGACCTGAGGAGCTGCCAAGCAATATAATCACATTGGCAGTTCTGTCTGACCAACACAGAAAGCATCTTCTCCCTCTCTGAATCCAGGGAAGTCACCTGGACTAGTTACTGTGGCAAATCCTATCATGACAAGATCCAAAATTAACTTGCTATATTTTTTTTTCCAGGTACTCCACATCTGCATTCTCCAAACTAAGCAGAGTAGGGATCCGACATCCTCCACCTCTTCCTTTCATTGGAAACCTGCTCTTTTTCCGTGAGGTAGGGTATATTTTTCTTTGTTTCAAAGTGATGGGAAGAGTGAATAGACATCAGGAGGAATCTTACAGCTCACTGGTAGCACCTCTTCAGGCACGTCCCTCTAGAAAGGACAAGCCAAACTAAGCTTCTTGAATGAGTTGGTGGAAGCAGTTGTGTGGAAGCAGCTGTAATTCCAGGATAAAGTCAACTTGAGAGAAGGAAAATGTATAAGCTCCTGCAGTTAATTACTTGAGCTGTTCCAAGAAAGTTCATGCCCTCAGTGAAACAAACTTAGTTATGTGAATGGAGCAGGTTATGTTAACTAGCCCCAACTGTTTTGTTCCAAGTGGTTTTGGCTCCTACAGCCTTTGTTTGTTTGCACTTTTGCTGATTGTACACGTTTATTTTAAAGTCTCTAGTGTTGCTTGCTCCCAAGCAGTAACTGGAATTAGGTACTGCTGGATGTTTTTTCTCTGTGCCACAAATATTAGAGGTGTGAGGAAGAGGAAGTGGTGGCATTTTGCCTCCAGATTTTATTCCCTCATTTTTCTCACCCATCCTCTTTCAATAGACTGCTAATGCTAAGTTTTGTTCCTTGTTCCATTTCAGTAGTATTGCTGAAGTTCCAAGATACCTTAATAATGAGGAGCTGCCATTTCTCTGGTTGGATCTTACAGTAAAATCTCTCCAATGTGGCTCTGTTGCAGCCCAACTTTTCAGGAAATCTGGGCCAGCTCCAGCTGCTGCCCAGTTTTCCCTGTTAAGTGCATGGTCATCAATATCCATGCTGAGATCTGAATTATTAATGCGAATATATTGCCTCTTGCCTTGGTCTGCATGGTGATTGTTCTGTCAATATCTGACTCATTATTAGATAAAACCCTTTTAAATACCAGTTTTACATGTCCATCTGATTTCATTTAAGAAATAGCATAAAAAGTAGACTTAATCCACTCTAGAATAATTTAAACTGGAATTGGCAGGGTGACTTTAACTTACAAGGGATTTTGGTGGTATGGGATGCAGACTGGCTCACCTTCACTGTTCAAGTTTCAATTCAGCTGGGTGGCAGAAATCCACTCATTCTGTAGCTCCTTAGTGGTGAAATCCAGGTATCATTAGTTACTTGCCAACACTTGCTGTTAGGTAAAGGTGCCTGGAAACTAAGTTATTTTGGTGTGTTCTAGATAGACTCGCCCTGTACCAGCGTAGAAGTATAAAGGTTTTGGGAAATGACCCAAAATGATCGTATGATCTGTTAGGCAAATTTTGTCACTAGAATAGTATTTATTAAGGTAACTTAAATCAGATTAGTGAAAAAAGTTAACCCTTATTTTACTACCTTTTAGGAAGAAAAACAAAGGTAGCTGAGAAACTGTATCTTGGGATACCAAGAAATAACTGTTTTGAAATGGAGTTGAGTGGTTTAAAGCCACAAGCACTGCCAGGCTATATATCCAGCACTTTGGAATTTCACCACCCATCTTCTCTACCATGCTACCATTGCCAGTAGGAACAGGCAGGGAGGAACCCAGCCTCTTGGTAATTTTTCTTCCTCCTCTCACATCGCTTGCCATTTTTTCTGGATCTGCTCCTGGGGCTGCTTTCCTAGAATAGTGCCCATAGCAATGAGCCAGAAATGGGAGTGCTGCTTTTATACTGCAGGCTCTTGTCTATGAGAGCATTTTCAGGGACACAAGTGCTCTCACTGCAGTCAGTATAGGACATCGTCCACTTTCCCTTTCCCAGGAGTGGAGAAGCAGGGCTTGCCCATCACCTTACTGGAAATAGGGGTGGTTTTAGGGGCCTAGCTGTGAAATGGAGCTGTGCATGAGTAGTGGCTTGTTGGGGTTGGGTTTATTTTTACATACATATATATAATTTTTTTTAATAGGAAGTAAAAAAGTTTGATTTTTTTTTTTTTTTCTGTTGCTCCATCTATAATATTAAGAAGTTCTTGCCCTTCCATGTTTATGCAACCATTCTCTTTCCACCAAAATAGCTGTTTGGAGAGTCTCCCTTTTAAATAGGCTGTCTCTTTCTTAGTATTGCTAATCTTTTGCAGGGAAAACACATGAGCCATACTCCTATTAAATCATCAAACTAGTGCTTTTCAACCATGAACACTTATTTCAAAGGAATTAATGAATGGTGACTAAGAGGAATGAATTGATATGTGCCGTATGGGAATCTGCATATGTGTAATTCATACATTTCCAGCATCAAATTTGGTCTGCAAATTAACACAGGTTGAAAAGCCCTGAACACAAATGAGATTTGGAAGATAAAAGGAAATCAAGAGGCTTCAACATATGCAGCCGTGCAGTCCAAAAAGTCTCCTCTTCTCATGGATTCAGGCTTTTCTCCTAGAATATGATTGCTAGAAATGTAAGGAAAAGAAATAAAGCAGGCAAGGAAGTCCCTTTGACATAATAGAATAAATCTAGGATCTGGGAATTTAAGGAAGAACAATAAATGCCAAAAAAATCTCACCAAAATTGTGTAAGAAGTATTTTACAATTTGTAATGGTATAAATTCAGGGGTTTGCTTGTCTTCTCCCTTACTTGGGTATAAATCACTTCTACTGAAATAAATGAGGATTCCTGTTTTGCTGCACTGTGCATGTAAACAGACCTTTAGGCCTTACCCTTTTCTTGCAATTCTTCTTTAAATGTGCCTGAAAACAAAGGAACAGTACAAGCAGGATTTCACCAGTTGTCCTGGGTTGTGGAGTATTTAATATACTTTCAAAGGCATTTTAAACAAGAAAATATTTTGTTCATGAGACTTTTTTACTTATTTCAGAGATCTTGTGAACAGTGTATTTTATTTGAGTAAAATAATTGTAGCTGTTAATATAGTCTCTTTGAGAGAGGAAGAGGAAGTTTGGAAAGTAAAGGGGCTAAGGAAAGTGCAACAGGAAAAGACCTATCTCCATCACAGAAAAGGAGATTTGAAGAGGTGGCTTGGGGAAAACAAAGTTATTTTACTGTAAGTCACCCCTTCTCTCTCTTGTAAAATAAAGGGAGATAATCACACTCTGAAACTAAAACATATCCAAGTTAATCAGCTTATCTCAACAATGAGAAGATAGGAAATTATTGCAGTTCTGTAGCTGGGAAATTATCTGAGACCAAGATATTAGATTAAAAATTCTTCCATTGCATGAGAACAATTTGTGGTGGGTAAGTCTGATGTAATAGTAAATATGATTAGGCTGCTTTAAAAAAGCAGCATGTTCAATTTTTTTCCAATAACTGAGCAGACTTGCAGCCATCAGGCTGCTGTTTTGCTACAAATTCCTGACTGTTTGCTCACCTCTCCATGTGCTGCGTTTTTCCTATGAGTATGGAAAAACATTAGGGTTGTTTGTGATAGCTGTGTAATGATTGACACAGGGGCATACACAGCATAGACTTTCACACTGTATCTGTATAGGCTTTATAGCAGCAGGTTGCAGAAAAACTAAACCACACTCTTTAATCAGTTCCCAGGCTAATGATTTTATTATGTGACAAATGCTCTGAAAACTGAGAAGCCACCTATCTGCATCACCCTTTCTCTCTGGCAAACACTTGACCTGTTGCTATGGCTGTGCTGTGCTTTTCTCCCCCTTTCTCATTCCTTTCCTAAAATGACAGCTATGCTGTTTTTAAATGTCATTGGCTCTGACATTTGCACGGCCCTGGTCGCCTAGTGGTGTACCTGTGTGCACTGCTCCCTAGCCAGCCTCCTGGAGAGCCACACTGTGCTGCAGCAGCTTTGGGGCTGCTCCTGATGTTTTGGGGTGGTGGTAGGTGTGTGGGTTGCTGCCTTGTTTTGATCCTTGGTAGGTGGGATATGCAGTTGCGTGCAGCTGAGTGATGTGCTTTGGGTCCTTATAGCCCTTATGTGATTATGTATTGCTTTCCTCCTATTACTCCTAGCAAGCTCCAGTGATGCTTTTGACTGTCTGTGTGCTTGCATCCCTGCCTTGCATGTTAATGAAAGACATCACTCTCTTTAGCCCCTCTCAGCTTGGACAGGATGCTCTTTGTTTACTCTGTTTATTCCAGTCTGGCCTACTTGTAGATCCTGGACTACCCCAGAGCGGCCCATTTCTGCTGAATGGAAGTGGGGGCTGTGTGGGTGCTTTGTCTTGATTTCAGTTTGGGATCTGGCTGGGCTGTGTTGTTTTATGGCTGATGGGTGGGAGTGGAAAAGGGGGGAGTGCAGGGAGGAAGCAGAAAGCAAACATTTTTTTCTTTTTCTTCACTATACATATGCCAAAAGCATCCTTCAAGTTGGACGTAAAGGAAAATAAAAGGCAGAATCCTTGCAGGATTGAAATTACCCCATGTCTAATTTTTAGCCTAGAAAGCACTGTGTGGGTGCTTAGAGAGGCTGCAGCGTTTACTGCTCTGGAATTTAATGACACAGCATTCAAACCTAAACAAGGTTGGAGAGAGGCAAACAGTGAGGGGAGCAAGAAGGGGGGAAAGGGAGGAAAAGGAGCTCTCAGGCTCTGGACCTGGGTTGAATTACAAGAATAATGACTTGCCTTGATAGTGAAAGCCTGCATATGGTTTTGTGTTTCTTTGTGCAGATAAACAACAGAAGAATGAGATAGGGTGTGTGTGTTTTGCCACTTGATAGCTATTTGTGTGGAACCAGAAAGGTTGGCTGTGGCATCACCAACCAACCTGTCTTTGTCTCCCCCAGACACCTTTGTGCATCTGCTGTGGGCTGCTGACTGCCAGAATAGACCTCTTGGGGCGATCCAGGTCTTCTCTTCTGTCCTGAGAACGCTACCACCCTAGACTGGAGGGCATATATGTACATGGTGCAGATAAAAACCTAGCCACTTCGTTGTCTGTAACATGACAGAAAACCTGAGGTTAGATGTGGGTTTATGTGTCTATTTCTACATCTATAAAGCCAGTCTCTTTCCCCTTTAAAGATGTGTATTTTCTGAGTTTCATCTGATAGTCTGTGTTACTTCCTTTGATCAGATGTTAGCATTGTCAGATAACCTGACAAA